GGATAAAATAAGGATCAAATGAAAGATGTTTAGGTTAACTCAGTAAGAATTAATGGTTGTCACAGCTGTCAGTAATTATGACTGGATTATAAATTCCCTTTATTTTATCAAATCATGTAACCCAAAGATAAAGGAAATTCCAGAAGTAATCAGGTAAAAAGAAAACATCAAAATAGGATACAGTGGAAATTAATTGTGGGAAAGCATTTTTCCCCTCCAAAAAAGGGGTTTCTGTGTCTCAGACCCTATTTTAAAAAAAAAAAAAAAAGAGAGAGAGAGAGGGGGGTTTGGAAATTAGGTGGGGAGTGCAAAACTGTCAGCATCCCACCAGTTACAGAGGTGAGAGACACAGAGGCCAGCTCCTTCCCTCACACCCCACAATAATGTATCTATTATTTCTGTATAATGTTGTACTAATCTCGGATTGATAATCTTTGACTAAATAATACTGTGATCAATGCGGGGGTGGGGTGGGTGGGAAGGGGGGAGAAAAGTAGCTCCCTTTTATGGACACCCAGCTAGCCAACAGCTATAAAATCCCTCTTCGTAGCTGTTCTGTAATTGCTCTACCTGTAAAGGGTTAAAAAGTCTCACTGCTACACATAGGTAAAAGGAAATGAATGGGCACCTGGCCAAAAGAGCCAATGGGAAGGCCAGAACTTTTTAAAATTGAAGGAAGACTCCCCTTTTGTCTGTCTGTTGTCGTTCTCCCGGGGAGAGGCAGACAGGGCAACAGCTATGCTGTAAGAAGCTTGGGCCAGGTATGAAAAAATCATCAGTATCATACCTAGAAACTACTCATTTAAAACCCCAGATATGTAACTAGATCAGGAAATGTCTAGGAAGACGCGATTAGGTTTATCCCTTTTATTTCATTATGGCTTGTGGATTCCTCTGTGCTAACCCCAAGTGCTTTTGTTTTGCTTGCAACCTTTAAACTGGACCTCAAGAAAGCTATGCTTGGTGCTTAATCCTTGTAGTTGCTCTTTTAAAATCTAGCCGTAGCCTGAGTTCCCAGATGTATTTTCTTTCTTTCTTTTTATTAATAAGATTTACCTTTTTTAAGAACAGAATTGGATGTGTGTGTCTTAAGAGGTTTATGCACATGTTGTTTAATTAGCCGGTGGCAACAGCCTTAGCCTTCCCTCCCCCCCTCCCCTTTTTCTCAGCTCTTCCCTGGATGGGGGGGTGAGAGGGCTTGAGAGTACCCCACAGGAAGGAATTCCCAAGTGCACCTTCCTGGGCTCTCAAAGGGGTTCTGCACTTGGGTGCTGGCAACATCTACCAATCCAAGGTCAGAGAAAAGCTGTAACCTTGGGAGTTTAATACAAGCCTGGAGTGGCCAGTATTATTTTTTAGAATCCTTGCGGGCCCCCACCTTCTGCACTCAAAGTGCCAGGGTGGGGAATTAGCCTTGACAAATACCATTTAAACCTGTTGTTTAACAATCAAATTATTAAAATCAAGCACGCAACAGTGTACAGGAACTCCTCACTTAACATTGCAGTTATATTCCTGAAAAATGCGACTTTAAGCAAAACCATGTTAAGCGAATCCAATTTCCCCATAAGTCTTAACGTAAATGAGGGGGTTAGGTTACAGGGAAATTTTTTTCACCAGACAAAAGACTATATTTTATACACACACACAAGTTTTAAACAAATAATTTAATACTGGTACACGATGATGATTGTGAAGCTTGGCTGAGGTGGAGGAGTCAGGGGGTGGGATATTTCCAGGGAATACCTTACTGCTAAATGATGAACTAGCAATTGGCTGAGCCCTCAAGGGTTAACTCTCCCACTCTACAAGGCAGCAAGAAAGGAGGGAGAGCAAACAGAGACAGAAAGACACACCCTGTGTGTGTTTGAGAGACAGAGATGCGCATTTCCCCTTTAAGTATGAAGAGTGGGGTCAGAAGTACACTGCCTTGCTAATTAGATCAGCAAGCTGAGACCAGACCGCACCTCCCTCCCTCCATGTGTGTCCCCTGCTCTATGGAAGATGGCGTAAGCGGGGTGCAGGAGCAGGGGGACACCCTGAAATTAGCCCCCCTTTTCTTCCCCTCCCTCACACAGTAAGCAGTAAGTCTCAGGGAGCAGCTCCAAGACAGAGGGCAGGAGCAGTACATGGCAGTGGGAAGAGGGACAGCTGAACAGACGGCAATTGATAGCCTGCTGAGCAGCTGCTGCACAGGGAATTTAGGGGAGCAGGGAGCTGCTGGTCCACCCTGGTTCCAACCATCCACCAGCTAGCTGCAACGGGCTGCTCTTCCTGCAAGCTGTGGACAAAGCAGGTGGCTGCCAAATGATGTTAGAAGGGAGCACTGCACAACTTTAAACGAGCATGTTCCCTAATTGATCAGCAACCTAACATTAACCGGGACAACTTTAAGTGAGGAGTTCCTGTACACTGTTACAGAGAATGGGGCACTGTGGGATAGCCTGGAGGGCTGTTGGGGTTGCCAGAGGTCATGCAGTGTCTACACTCACACTACGTAGACCTCAGTATGCCGACTCGCGCCTCTGTGCCCTTCAGGGAGGTGGTTTTACTGTGTCTTTGTGAAAAGGCACTTACATGGGCCAGAGACAAATTGAGTGTTAGACCATACATGTAGAGAGACACATCGGCCTAACTTTGTAGTGTAGACCAAGCTTTATGTCCCATTAAGTTTCAGTGAGAATTAAATTCCTAAATGCTTAAGTCACTTTTGAAGAGAAGACTTAAGCCTTGTAATGTTGAGCTGAACAATGCCTAAATACTTTAAAAATCTGGTCTTTAAGACCTGGCCCTTACTGTGGATGGCTCCACATTGGCAGTCAAATAAAGGAATGAAGTGTTAGTATACAGAAAGAATACCGTATCATTGATTTAACATCTCAAATGCTGTTTTCAATTATCGTCACACTGTCTCAAAAACTATACAGCAGACAGAGGGGTTCTGAGCCAGTTAAAGAGTGACTTCTACAAGATTTGCACTAGAAAGGCCCGACACGGTTTCATTTAGAGGGGAAATGAATAAGGAAGACATGAAGAGGTACAGCAATTACTGATATACAAAAAGTAATTTGAATCTTATTCATCCTCCCTCATAGAATCATAGAATATCAGGGTTGGAAGGGACCTCAGGAGGTCATCTAGTCCAACCCCCTGCTCAAAGCAGGACCAATCCCCAACTAAATCATCCCAGCCAGGGCTTTGTCAAGCCTGACCTTAAAAACTTCTAAGGAAGGAGATTCCATCACCTCCCTAGGTAACGCATTCCAGTGTTTCACCACCCTCCTAGTGAAAAAGTTTTTCCCAATAGCCAACCTAAACCTCCCCAACTGCAACTTGAGACCATTACTCCTTGTTCTGTCATCAGCTACCACTGAGAACAGTCTAGATCCATCCTCTTTGGAACCCCCTTTCAGGTAGTTGAAAGCAGCTATCAAATCCCCCCTCATTCTTCTCTTCCGCAGAATAAACAATCCCAGTTCCCTCAGCCTCTCCTCATAAGTCGTATGTTCCAGTCCCCTAATCATTTTTGTTGCTCTCCGCTGGACTCTTTCCAATTTTTCCACATCCTTCTTGTAGTGTGGGGCCCAAAACTGGACACAGTACTCCAGATGAGGCCTCACCAATGTCGAACTGAGGGGAACAATCACGTCTCTAAATCTGCTGGGAATGCCCCTACGTATACATCCCAAAATGCCATTGGCCTTCTTGGCAACAAGGGCACACTGTTGACTCATATCCAGCTTCTCGTCCACTGTAACCCCTAGGTCCTTTTCCGCAGAACTGCTGCTGAGCCATTTGGTCCCTAGTCTGTAGCGGTGCATGGGATTCTTCCATCCTAAGTGCAGGACTCTGCACTTGTCCTTGGTGAATCTCATCAGATTTCTTTTGGCCCAATCCTCTAATTTGTCTAGGGCCCTCTGTATCCTATCCCTACCCTCCAGCATATCTACCTCTCCTCCCAGTTTAGTGTCATCTGCAATCTTGCCAAGGGTGCAATCCACGCCATCCTCCAGATCATTTATGAAGATATTGAACAAAACCGACCCAAGGACCGACCCTTGGGGCACTCCACTTGATACCGGCTGCCAACTAGACATGGAACCATTGATCACTACCCATTGAGCCCGACAATCTAGCCAACTTTCTATCCACCTTATAGTCCATTCATCCAGCCCATACTACTTTAACTTGCTGGCAAAAATACTGTGGGAGACCGTGTCAAAAGATTTGCTAAAGTCAAGGAACAACACGTCCACCGCTTTCCCCTCATCCACAGAGCCAGTTATCTCATCATAGAAGGCAATTAGACTAGTCAGGCATGACTTGCCCTTGGTGAATCCATGCTGACTGTTCCTGATCACTTTCCTCTCCTCTAAGTGCTTCAGAATGCAAGAGAAGGTTCAATAATATAAAAACAAATAATATAGGATTAATTAATTAATTAATATACAAAGGTTCATATAATATAAAGACAACAAATTTTTAAAAGAACAAAAGGAATTATCTTGTAGCAATCAGTTACCCAAGTTGATTATGTATTAGGAATAGTATTGAGGGCAGGTGCATGGAATTATTGATACCAACATAACCATGTGGAATTTTTTCTTGAGAACTATGAAATAGTTGAGTAGAACCCTCTCCCTTGATACTGAGGTGGCACTTACTGTACAGCTCCTCACTCAAGGAGAGTCTCCACCTCCTGCTGGAGGATCTCCTTGGGAGAGTGGTCCCTGAAGATGGGCCTGGAGCAGGTTTTGGAGGAGGTAGAGAATGGCTACAGTTCTGAGTTTCTAAGTGGATGATATTTGGTACCCACGTGTCCTTTGTTACAGCATTACAGTTGTGGGCAAAGTAAGGCAGGTGGATGCCAAAAGGGGAGTTTGGAAACAGGTGGCGATGGCGTCACTGTCAGGTTGCATCTCTCAAGAGTCCTGTCAAAAGGGATCTTTAGAAGTGAATGAGATTGGGTGACTGTCATTGAGGTGGATGTAACTGCATACCTTGACCTGCACCCTTCGATGGTTGCGTGGTGAATCGTATGGTTGCTGGTGATAGAAAGGCTGGGGAAGAGGCCTTGGCTTATGTATGCCTGTTTGTGTTACCTTCCTCTTCAGGGACAGGATATAAATGCCCAGAGACCAGAGGGCTGTCCTGGAGTCATTTAATGAGTGCAAAGACTGCTTTCTCATTAAAGATATTGGTTTCATCAAAGGGCAAGTCCCCAATGGTGCTGCTCACAGTTCAACAGGCTCCATGATAAGTCCCCAGTTTATAAACTGTCTCTTGGAGGAACCCCTTCACCTCTGCAAGTATCCATAGTGGCATCCAAGCAGTGTTTTCAAAACAGCGTAGGATTTGTTAGTCAACTGGAACACAGCACTGGAAATCCTTAGGTTAGCACAGAGAAATAAAGGTTAATGCATAGTCAAGCCAGATCAATTCACCAGCCAAGCAGTAGTGAACTCCATTTTCAGGCTCTGTCTCTCTGATTTTCTTATTCAGTCCCAGTAGACAGCAGCCTGCTTCTTCCAGAAATTCACCCCCACCTGAAACCTTAGTCTTTTGCTCTCAAGCTGGTGACTCTGCTCAGCTTCTGGGTCATTGTTTCTAGGGTTTTCCATTGTCTCCTCAGATTTTCCACTGATATGGGTCTGCCTGCCAGTCTTTTTAATGACCCAGTCAGTCTGTTCAGATAGACCTGGGGTTTTTATAACATACGGTTTCCACAAACCCAATCTTCCTACCTCCACAGCATCTTAGTTGTGGGCGATCAGCAAGCAGCAACAATTTTCAAAGGAGGGAGGCTAAGGAGCTGGTAGAGGATTGCTCAGCCAATGCAAGCAATCCAATCTAGCTTTGGCACTGAAAAAGGAGTGCTGAATAATACGTATACATTCAACATCATACAGCCATCTCACAATTTCTGAGTATTGTAACATTCTAAGACAAGTTATTATAGTGCTCACAAGTACCACCTGGAGCCTTACCTGGACTGAAGTTTAAATGCAGTTATATATATTCTGTTTTTAATAAATAAAAAGTATCCAAACAGAGACTAAGCACCCTGCCAATTATTTAAAATTATGAATACAAAGCACAATAAAAATAATTCACACCTACCTAGCAGCAGCAAATCAAATACTAAGGCATCATATTAGCCTATTTAGGCAATATTTGAACTGAATTTTCTTACCATTTGGACTTCTCTCCAACTGCAGTGAATACCTAGGAGAATCTAAGTTCCTTTGCCAAATCAAAGTATAAATTAACAACTCTCTATGATCAATTAATGTAGCGTGGCCACACTAAGTACACTGTTGTGTTAGAAGACTGGCAGCATATGATTCAAATGGAAGTCAAACACTAGCTTTGGCAAGAACTTGAAGTAAAATGAGGATGTAAATTCAGGCTTTCAGGGTCTGGAGCTGAACTGCAAGCAAACTAGACTGCATCTGAGATATTTTAATTGTCATTGTAGGGATCTGTATGGGAGAAACTTACCCTGCGTCTCTACCCCCCATTTAAGGTGTTTTAGCAATAGTCCAAAACAGCAGAGATTCCCAGACAGACCAAACAATATGTAACATTTTGCCAAAGATTTTTATGATCTAGTGACTACTGAGGGTTGGACTTGAAAACTTGTATTCTTAACCTAGCAAAGGCGCAAGTGCCCAAGGTCATGAGAGTTAACATATGTTAGTATTGTAATCTAGGTTCATGGACGATAAAAATAAGACACTCTGGACTTTACAGTAACTCTTTCTAACTCTGATAATCATAAAACCTTTGTAAACTCTAGGACAGACCTGAAATTAATCTGAGTCCAAGTTGTTCAAAGAGGGAACAGGACGCCTGAAACATAGGTCAGCCCTTGGCAAAACTGAGCTCTGGTGAGCCAGCCTTTCAATTGGGAGGTTCTTGAAGACCTTGACAATGGAACTTAATAGCAAGTGATGCCAGACTCTTAGTTAACAGATGGAGAGTCACTGCTAACCCAAACAGAAGCAGTTTATACTGGGAATGGTCATTGTTCAGTCTGAACTAAAGGTAATACTTGTGGCCACGGTGGAGAAATGTGAAACCTCCCGAAGTTTGAGAGTTCTGAACTAATCCTGACAAAAAAAGGGAAAGATTATAGCTGTTACTTTGAAAAAGTTGCTGAGCTCTCACTGCACTGAAATTGGTTGACTCTGTTTTCTTTTTGTGCATAAGGGGAAAAAAACCCCTATTCTTGTGAAGTTCTCCAAAACCTGGTTCTATTGCTTCGAATTGTAGAAAGAACACTTTTCCTGTTTGAGAGTCATCCTTGAAATGGATAGGAAAACAGTAGGGTGAGGTAGCAGCATAGATTTAAATTGTAGAGGATTGCCATCTCTAGCATCTGTAAAACTAAATTTAGAAGTGATAAATGTACCAAATCTTGGGAGGGAAAGGAAAGCAGTCCCCTAAGAGATGCAACATGGAGGCCAAACAGGAATCAAAGAGCAATACCAAGCTCCTTCTCAACATACCTAAGTTATTGCTTTGATAGAAGCTGTGGCTGGAACCAAGGCAGTTGAAAAGAGTACTGGTGAAGATATGATTTTATTGCTGGATCACTGGGACTGTTTTACAGTGCTTTTTGCATCTGATACCCCGAGTAAGCCAGTGGGGGTGACTAACAAGGGTATTTGGAGTACAGTCCCATCTTAAAGGAAGAAAAATCTTTGACTGGGAGGGATTGGCTGGGTGTTAAGTCACAGTCCTAGTCACCTTGTGGTTTCCCAGAGTATTGTTCTGTCAACAATAAAGAGGTCAAGATCATCAAACAGAAGGTTAAGCAGTTTATTCTGAACCTCTTATAGAAAACTGAAGATTTTAAGTGGCAACAGTGATGAGACATTCTTTCTGGTGAAATTGAAAGCCTTCTGTTCAGATATGCGAAGAAACTCCGGCGCTGAAAATAGAATTTTACTTTTTAGTGTGGACTATAGAAGTACTGCCCACAGATTTTGAGAACCCATTTTGGTCTAGTGGAAGTTCAGTTTGGAGCCTCTTCATATTTTCTGGGACTTGAGTACAGGACAAGCAAATGGACATCCCTTGAAAGAATGGCCTTGTCCCCAATAGCGTACATGCTAGTCAGGAATATTTTTGGCTATATGAGGCATACCTCTTAAAACTGCATTTCTTTTCAGAGTCTGCCATCCAGAGACCTGAAAAGACAGAAAAATAATCTGAAAGTTAAACACTAAAGCGGCCAGAAATCCAACCACCACTAATAAGATTTAGCTGACCAATTTACCTAATACTAATCTAAATTAGCTAGTAACAGTCAGCAGCAAAATGTGTTACTTTTTGTAGAGAAAAGGAAGGAAAAACCCTGACATAGTAGTAGAAAAAGGAATTCCGGGAAGCTCTCATATGATGTTCCTTAACATGGCTCATCATATCATGGGAAATTACTTAAAACTCAAGTGTTTCTGTCACCATACAGTGGCAAGGAAGACCAATATCCATTCATCTGCACAAATAAAACAATGACAAAAAACTCAGCGGGACCAAAAATTACATGCTTAATTTAATAGACCAATCATTTCCCATCTGAGGTCAAAAGATTTTGGACGAGAGACAGTTTAACAACCTCCAAAGTGAATTTCAGTATTTCAATTTTCAAGTTTATTTTTAAAAGCTTAGGCTCTGTCTACACTACAGATCTTACAGCAGCTCAGCTGTACTACTGCAGCTGCGCCGCTGTAAGGTCTCCCGTATAGCTGCTGTATGCCGATGGGACAAGAGCTCTCCTGTTGGCATAAGGAAGCCACCCCCAAAGACGGCTGGTAACTATGTCGGCGGGAGAGCATCTCCCGCCAACATAACGCTGTCCACACCTGTTCACTGTCAGTGAAACTTATGTTGGTCAGGGGTGTGTTTTTTCACACCCGACTGACAAAAGTGCTGGTGTAGATATAGCCTTATCTGCTATCTATTTCTATTAGTTTGCACAAATATTTCCAAAATGAAAAACTTCCTATTCCATTTATGCACACACACACGAACACTTTTACAACTTAAGGGTCATAAAAGGAAATCGTCTCCATTATTTTTGGGGATAAAGTCATCGCATGTTAATGGTTTTAGTTTGACAAAAGCAAGAAGCAAGTTTTTTATTACAGTAACTTTACACAGGAAATACTCAGGTATTATAAAGAAAACAATTAGAACTCCCTCTTCAGTCTCTTTCCTTAGGGTATGTCTACACTTAAAATGCTACGGCATGCTGCTGTAGCACTTCAGTGTGGACACTTACTATAGCAATAGGAGGGGTTCTCCCATTGCTCTAGTAAATCCACCTCCCTGAGAAGCACAGAGTTAGATTAACAGAAGAATTCTTCTGTTGAGCTAGTGCTGTCTACACATAGACTTGGGTTGGCTAAGCTATGTTGCTCAGGGGTGTGGATTTTTCACACCCTGAGTGACCAAGCTGGGTCGATCTAATTTTTTAGCGTAGACCAGCCTTTAGGAATTGAAGAAATAGCGAACAGTATGTTAAAGGACTTATTTCTTCACCCTCCCACTTCCCTGGTCCTTCTCGCATGAACAGAGAGCAACAATACCCGAAGTCCGAAGGTGCAAATAATTCGATGTTTATTGGAGTGAATTTTCAGCAAGCTTAAATCCAAGTTCTTTTTTCCCAAATCCCAATTTACTTCCTGTTTGCCCCTAATTTATATAGTAATATTCTCAGCTATACCTTAACCAATCATTTTACTGAAATTTACCTAACCAATCCTAACATATTGTAACATGATTAGCTAACCAATCATATCCCAATACCTTAATTAGTTTAGACCCAGCAAAATTAATTATACATCCTAACACAGCAAGGTACAATTCACAACCACCCTTGCATTAGACCAGAATTGGGATAACATGCAACAGAAAAATCTACCGGCAACCTGTGTGGGAACATTTCTGCTGACTGCATTCAGAAATGAATTCACCACTGCTGTATTAAAAGCAGCTTAGATTCTTTGGAGTAAATGACATGAAATGTCTCTGTGCTGAAATCGATAACTCTGGGTTTTAAACTGAGGAAGTTCCTGGACACTCATGTATATAAGAGTAGGATTCTAAAAGGTATCATTTGACACCCCAGCAAAAAAACCAAAACCACCAACATTAATGCTGGCAATAACATTACAATATTGTAACTATAAAAATAGAGTCAATTTTACAAATAGAGCATTTTCGAAGTGTTATGTGTGTTTTAAGAATACATCGCTTATCTCTTTACAACCCAAGCCTAATAAGCAAAAGTCAATCCAGGTGTCTGTAAAGGATCACTAACCTTCTCTCCCTTACCGCTTCCTGGCTGCCTGGAGGGGATGTAGAGCACCCCTGTGGTACTCCCCACTCACGTGACCCATGGGAGGAGGGTGTGTGACTTTCCTCTATTGTGTTTTTGGGTTTTGTTTTTGTTGTGTGTGTTTGGATGGGTGGCACATTCCAATTCTCTGCTATTGAGGCTAAGTCAGGATTGATCATAAGCATGCCTTTGGACTTTCCAATACACATGTATCTGATATGGCTCAGGTTGGACTGTGATGTGAAAGTGCAAGAGTGCATATACACACACTGGGGAAAGCTGATAGCTGCTCATCAGCGTAAATGCATTTCTCTCTCTATTTCTCACTATTTCTGCCTGCTCTTTCACTAGTAGCAGCATATGGGTATTCCATTATTATTATTGTTAAATATTTAGGCAATAGTAGTGTCCAGAGACATCCTGAAGGATCACGTGTCCTCACTATGCTCAAAGCCATACAAGAGACTAGAATACCCTATGACTGGGACTAATCTTCACGATCAAAGCATTTAACAGGGCCTGGTGGCATAGGACCTTCATGCTCTGGGCATGACTCATCAGTGATGTGCCTGGTCTACCTTAAAACTTATACTGGCATAGCTATGTCTGTTAGGGGTGCAATATTTTTACCAACACAGCTACGCTAGTATAAGCCCTAGTACAGATGTACTTTTATGCTGGTATAAAGTACTTTTGCTGGAATGTCTTATGTTTCTCTTTGAACTGTTGTAAGCTACGACAGCAGAAGCAGTTTTATGCCATTATAAACTGCAGCTACACTAGGAAGGTTTGCCAGTACAGTTTTGCTGGTAGTGCTATACCAGCAAAACTTTTCTCGTGTAGACAGGGCCATGGAGAGAGAAGAGTGAAATTGATCACTATTAAGACTGGCTGCTGGTGAACAGGCAAGTGTGTTTTTGAACATGTACAATAACTTAAAATACGAACACAGCGACTTGGTCCTAAAAATTTAAGTCAAACAATATCCATATTAATAGTCACAGCTTTCTCAGGGGCTAGCACAGGATTGGGCTGAATTCCCTCAGGAACTATGAACCACCACAAAAGTCATCACCTCACTTTCCACATGCAAAGCATACTCTGACCTTGCTTTTACCAATATAAATACAGTGCAGTATACAGTTTTTTTTATAAACCAATGCCAACAAAACTACAGTGTACACACAAATTCTCCTCTTGGAGAGAGGGTAAGGGAAAAGGGGGAACCCCACGTAACTGATGTTCATCACGGTGCTCAGTGAACTACTGGAAGGTGCTCAGATATTACAGTGATGAGAGATTACAGTGTCAAAACTTTTATAGAATAGAATATGTATGCTCTATTTCATAACGGTTGGCATTAAAAGAAAGTGAAAATGCCACCTTCAAGAACAATCATCACATTACACATTCCCATGAGTCAACCAGACATCTTGTAATGTGTGGAGGGTTCGAATCAAGAGAATAAATCCTGCCTAACACACACCTGACCTGTAGCTCTATCCGACATCCTGTTTCTGCTTGGATGCACCGATCAGATGAACCGAAGTGGCCAAACCTAGGGCAAGGTTTAGAAACAGACATTGCCTGCCCTGGTGACCAGCTTTATTACTCCTATTGACTACCAACAGTTTTCAGTTCAAAAACTAGCTCTCTTCAGATTTCACAGCTCTTTTCATCTGGTTCAACAATTACCAGCTCATGCTAGCTAGACAGGAGATACCTTCAAAATTCTGATTCCAGTAAGAAGAGGCTATCCTGAATCCTTTCTCACTATAAACATACATTTCAGTTTAACTGAAGTGTAAGATCACTGCTGAAGAGATCATAATCAAGACTTAAAGCATGATGTAATTGGATGGTAGTATTGCATTGCCATGCGGTCATAGACATGAAGTATTAAAACCCAGAACCTTAACCTTATTTCAAGCACCAGGACTGCAGTATACAAGTGAACAAGACAACGATATCATGATTGATCAAGTTCAGCCACCACAATACTACCACTATTTTCCACAGTCTTGATATCAAAGTTTAAATCAAAATGGATGTCCTTTTTTACCAACACACTTTAAAAAGCCCCACATAGCACACATGCATACTCCTTGATGTTCTGATGACATTTTCATAGTATTTATATCTATTTTGCATAATTTTCTTCCTTTGGACACTGTCATCTATGGTTAAAAAAAAGAAGATTTAAACCTAGATTGTAAAGGATGAACAAAACAGGTTGTGCATCATCAGGTCAAGCCCTGCCCCACTTCCTCACTCTGCGAACCACTGAAGGAATTTCAAAGGGCAGTCTCACGCCCAGCTGCTACAGGCCAAAAATCAAGGATCAGTTTAATGAATTACATTGCAACCAGATAAATGCTAATACTTGGCACCATGCAAAACCTTTCCATCCAAGTATATCACTAGTTGACCTCCAATACACCTGGGGATGATATCCCCTATTTTGTTGATCATCACTTTCTATACAGCAGGGTGAACCAATTTTAATCAAAGTGATTTAAATCACTTATTTTAAATCAAGAGTTAAATCACCAGGCAGGAAACCTTAATTTAAATAATCAATTTTAATGATGTTTGTATTTATACTTTTTAGTTAGTTATTTTCTTAAAGGTTGATTTCATTGGTTGGTAACCATTAAAACATGTGATTTGTAACTAATTATACCCTTTACACTAAATGTGGTGCTTCTTTTTGCTAACCAGGAGGACATGCTTAAGTCTGTTATTGAGTGTCCAGGGAGATCGAAGTGCTCTCCTACCAGCTCTTCAATCTCCCTGGACACTCAGTAAGAGACTTAAAAGTGGCCATTCTTCAACAAAAAAACTTCA